ATAGATAGATAGATAGATAGATAGATAGATAGATAGATAGATAGATAGAGGGATAGAGGGATATAGAGGGATAGAGGGATATAGAGGGATAGATGATGGACAGACAGATAGATAAAAGACTAGGACCAGGGGCGACTGTCTATCAACAACAATGAAAGCAGAGGCAGAGGGCTGTCTGGCAGTCTGTCCATCTGGCTTTCTACTGCATCATTTCCTCCTATGGATCCATTGCTTGGCAGCATTTAAAATAGACCGATCCTGCATCTGGAGTCATTGTGAAGCTGTTCAGACCCCACGATCTTTTACCACACTGCTCCCTCTCCCAGAGTTCCTTCCTCCTCCTTCTCTAGCGGAAAGGAAGACCTCCTTTTGCTTCAAGGCTCACCCCAACTATTACCTTCTCCATGGCTGAGGGTAAGCCTGTTTTTACAGCACAGATAGGGGCCGGAAGCCTGGTTCGGTGGGTAACAGAACCCCATAAAGGTGAAAGGAAAGAACTGGCTACACAAAACTGCCCTCCAACTTCCACACATGTACCGTAGTCCATGTGCGTGCATACACACAACAGCAACAACTTCGTGATTTAAGGAATGAAAAAGAGGGTTGGAAAGATGGCTCTGTGACTGTGTACTGTCTGTTCTCCCAGAGAACCCAGATTCAATTCCCAGCACCCACCCACCCACCCACATGGTGGCTCACAACTGTCTGTAACACTGATTTCAGGGGATCTAATATCCTTACACAGACATATATGCAGGCAAAACATCAATGCACATAGAAATAAATTTTTAAAAAGAATAAAAAATAAATTAAATAAAAATTGAAACTGGTAAGACTTAGAACAGATATAAAGGGCCTGCTATTTAACACGCTCAATCATACTGAATCCTGCATCCTCATATTATTCTACCTGCCCGAGACTCTGGCTTCCTATCAAGTTCCATCATCGATGTCATGTTCATCCAGTTGCTCCTCGTTGTCTTGAAAACCTCAAATCCTAAGGTTCTGCAGACCCATTGTTGCATTACACTTACTGGATTTTCTGGCAAAAGGTTCTGTTTTACTCCACCCTACTTTCTTAGCTGGGTCTCCCTTGGGGGGGCTCTCTCACATGTCCTAGTCTGGAATACAACACCCATAAGCCAACAGCCACCCCGGGGTGGGGGGCACACACTGCGCCGGCAACTCCCAGCCTCCGGGCTGACAGCAGCTCTTCATTCAACTGTATGATCCTGTAACACCAGCTATCATTTAGGACCACCCACTGTGGACTGGGCGTCACACTAAGCATAGCAACAACCGACATTAGACATGGGATCTGCACCCAAGACACTCCCAGCCTGCTGAGGAACATACCCTTTCAACAAGCCCAAAAATAGAGCATGGGGGCGTTAGGTGGGGAAAAAAATAACTTGAGCCAAGATAGGGCCATTCCTGGGCCGCCTCACCCCCCTCTACACCCTCCCTACTTACGTTCCTGGGCTCTCTTCTCCTCCCCGTGCTCTTCCTGCCTGATTCCATCCGTCCCTCTGACTTTAGACACCATCTGTACACTGGTTTCCAGCTTCCCGAGTCCCTTGCAGACCCATCTGCTAAAGCACAGACTCAGGAGACAACCGCCCAAATGTGGGTGTCTGATCTGAGCACGACTCCGTGGCAAGAGCCTTGCCTGACATCTAGGAAGTCTGGGGTTCTGTCTCTAACACTGACAAAGGAAAAACTTGGATGTATAAACAATCTAACATTTAACCCACCTGCGGGAGAGTCATTGCTTTCTTCTCTAGTGCCTGCCCGCTTTCATGCACACTGATTTTCGAGTCTTCACCCTCCAGAGAGTCAGCCTAGAAGTCTGAGCCTTATCCGTAGACACTGGGATCTCTCCTTCACTCCTTCCCTTTCCCTTGCCCCCCCCACACCCCAACAATCCATTAGCACGGCAGTAGGCGCTAGAGTCAAATCCTAGGTGTCTGTTTGTTTTCTCCCACCGGAACTCCTCCTTAAATGGGAGAACCTTGTTTTTCTTTCAGTTTTGTGTTTGCTTTATTTTTACTGCCGAATCCTCGGACTGTGAGACTGGACTTGTCAGTCGCTAGTCCCCAGATAAATATTTGTTAAGTGGGTGAGAATGTCAGAGGAAAGGTGGTACAATGGAGGTGACAGTTGAGCTGGGTCCTGAAATAGAAATGGGTGTTTCCCTGCTGCAGAAGAGGGCAGAGGGTGCGGGGAAGAAGAAACAGCACAGACAGAGCGGGCCTCTAAGAAGCAGAACATCTGGGAGGGCGAGGCCTCGCCTTCAGTCACGTTGATATCATGTCCTAACTCTGACTCTACTTCTCCTCCATCTCGAAGGTGTACCTTAGTCTGTTTCCTACCACTGCACAGAATGCATGACACTGGGCAGTGTATAAAGAATTAAGTTTTTATTCGTCTCATGGCTCTGATGGTGGGGTGCCCAAAGTCTAGAAGCCACACCTGCAGAGGTCCTTCTTGCTGGCTGGGACTCTACAGAGGGAGTGTGGCCCTTCTGTAGGTAAGAGAGCCAAATTGGCTTCCATAAGAGACCTGCTCTCGAGATAACCCATTAGCCCAGTAATCCATTAATCCATAGGTGGATTAATCCACTCATAGGAGCAGAGCCCTTAGGACCTAATCACCTCTTCAAGATCTCACCTCTTAATACCTCAGAGTATTAAGTGGATATTAAATTTCAACATGAGTTTAGGTGGAGACATCCGGACGCATCCCTGATCTGAACAAAATAGAACTGACACTAGAACCTTCTTCAGTGAGACCTTGACAGTGATAGGAATGTGTAATAAATGATATAGTATGTTATTAACCTTGATATACAGTATCCATAATCCATATGGTCTGAAGGTGGGCTGCAGGATGTAATGGATCAGATTAGAAGTAAATCACTTAAACCGGGAATTTTCAAAACATCTAACAATAATGACCAGCTAATCATGTTGTTTTCTGTCAATTATTCTGTCAAGCAAAATGTTAGGCAAACACGAGCCCTTACACGAGCAAAGCAGCAGTTAGCCAATATAGGGGAAGCATGAGAGCTAGTGTATCCACTAGCTATGGCTGCATCACAAATGTCCTAAGGCTGCAAGGAAAAAAGGGGGGGGGCATGTATTATCTCATAAAACTTCTGTGGGTCAGAAACCCAGCTTAGCTCCATCATCTGGCTTAGGATCAGGACTGCATATGGCAATCATCTGAAGGCTTACTTAGCCAAAGCTGGAAGGTTCACCTCCAATATGGTTCACATGGTTGGGAAGGTCAGGTTAACTTATGGCAGGAGGCCCTTCCCACAGGACTGCTTAGGCATCCTCAAAAAGTGACAGCCGGTTTCTCCCAGTGGACCACCCAAAGCGGACAGAAAGGAAGCCTTGGTGTCTTTGTTACCTAGGATCTGAGGTCATTTTTTATAGACATTTTTACAATGCCAGTTGGTTGCCAGATCAGACCTCTGCATTATGGGATAACACTGTATGCACAATTCTCCTCCAATGACTCTGACCCATCCAGAAAACCAGGAACTAAAGCCAATCGGGCACCACCTTGGAACTGGCTGCCACTATTGGCCAAAGTTGAGCCAAAATCATCATGGATGAAGCCAGATAACTATGCTGAAGAAAAGTACAAGACTGTAGAAGAAGATGACTGAGAAAGGAGTAAGGCACAGGTACCTACAGCAGCATCACTGGCAGCTGTCACTCATCAAAGGTTTCCTCTATAATAGGTGTCCTGGTAGTTATGTCAACTTTATATAACCCAAAGCCATTTGGGAAGAAGGACTTTCAGTTAAGAAAATGCCAACCTTGTAGGCAAGTTCGGAGTGCATTTTCCTAATTGCTAATTGATGTGGAAAGGCGCCATCCCTGGACTGTTGGTCCTGAATTCTGTAAGAAAGCAGGCTGGACAAACCACGAGGAGCAAGTCGGTAAGCAGCGCTCCTCCATGATCACGATCAGCTCTGCCTGCAGAGTCCTGCCCTGACTTCCCTCTAAGGATGTGATGCAGAAGGCCAAGTTGTACATCTTTTCTTCCCCACGTTGCTTTTGGCCCTGGCGTTTTATCTCAGCAACAGAAACCCTAAGAGAGACAGTAGGCAGCAGCCAAAACTTTCTCATGTGCTGTCTGAAGTCCAGAGACAAATCAAGCCTTACTGAGTGACAGTCACACTCCTTCAGATGAGAGCGGCTCTTCCCGGTGGGATGGCTGTGTCAGAAGCCACGCCCACTCAAGCATTGCTCTGTGGCTTTTTTTCCACTTTTGTCTGAGTCACTGTGGCAGAAGCTGTGTGGTCTGTGAAGCCTAAAGCATCACCATCCACTCCTCCCCAGAACACAGGGAAATGCCCATCTGTGCTCCACATCATTGAGACCTTATGCAATAAAATCTCTTCTAGCCAGGCGGTGGTGACACACATCTTTAATCCCAGCACTCGGGAGGCAGAGGCAGTGGATCTCTGTGAGTTCGAGACCAGCCTGGTCTATGATAGATAGTTCCAGAACACTCTCCGACGCTACAGAGAAACCCTGTCTCGAAAAACAAAAAGCAGAGAAAAACAAAAACATCTTTTCAGGGTTGGAGGGATGGCTCAATAGTTAAGAGTACTTGTTCCTCTTGCAGAGGTCACAGGTTCAGTTCCCAGCACCTACCTATATGGTGGCTCACAACCATCTGTAACTCCAGGTCCAGGGGATCCGATGGCCTCTTCTGGCCTTGGTGGGGACCCAGCACACACATGATACACATACACACATACAGGAAAAACACTCACACACATACAATAAATAAATGTAAATAGAATTTCTCTTTTTAAAAGATAGTACTTTCTTCATCTTATAAATGAAGAAAGTGAGGACCAGACAGGTTCTGATTTACCAAGAATCACATGACTTGCATGTAACAGGACAGAATAATGTTTGGACAGCCTGACTGTACTCTAACAGTTTTGGATTCTGGAACATTTCAAAACTCGGCTTTTTTAAACCATCCTTTAATATTCTTAATGCGTGATGCCAAGGAAAGAAATCAGAGAAAAGTGATGAAAGGCTCTTAGTTATCCCCCACAGGGACCACCCCAAAACCCAGTGACTTCCAGAGTTTGGGGCTGCACGGTTCCTTCTGGTGGTTACCAGGGCTCATTGTTCGGCTGCATTCCACTCGGGCATGGGTTCTCAACCACGGGTGAAACCTGCTCAGCAACCAGGTTTGCTTGCGATGCCTAAAGACGTTGATGGGTACTGCTGGTTTCCACTGGAGAGAGGCCACAGGTGATGCATAACTTATAGCCCCCACAACAAAGAATCACCTGGTCCCAAAGGTCAGTAGTGTCTCAGTTGACAAAACCTGAACTCGCTGATCAACTGGTTCTGGAATGTTCCAGGTGTTGTCACTCAGGCATCCGATAATCAGTGCTGGCAGTGGCTGGGCCTGTGGTCCCCCTCCACCTGCTCTGTACTCCAGGAAGTTAAACTGACTACAGCAAGGCCTCAGACAGAAAGACAAGGGGCTGAAATCCAGGACCTACAGAGAGCAGAGCGACTCATCACATTCTATTGACAGAAACAAGTCACAAGATCACACACCCTTGAGAGACAGAGGCAGAAGATGTTCAAGTTCAAGGGCCAACCTGGGCTACGTAATACGTTCTAGGCCAACCTGGGGTATATAGCAAGGCCCTCGTTGAAATTAAAAACGTTCACCATGACTCGGGCCCTACCCAGGCAACTGACAAAGAAACGTGGCAGAGGGAAGACATCATTCTGTGTGTGTGAACATCCCTCCAAACGTGCATTTGAGAACCACTGGCCTACTGTGGGCAACTCGATCAGACAAGCCCAGGTCATTGGCTTAAGTGCTAGTGGAGGCCAACACATCCCTCCCTCCTACTCCCTTCCTCTGTCTGGATCCCTGGCCATTCACCTGAGGTCAGAACTTCTCAACAACAGAGTTCAACAGGAATGGTTCTTACATGCCATAGAAATGGGCCAAGGCTCAGCAAGTAGACAGGAGCTCAGCCATAGCTACTGCCCAGTGGGTCTGCACATGAGGAGGGTGAACGTTAGCACAAACCAGGTAGGGCAGCCAGGCCTCCTAGGGAGCTGGACTGGAGAAATCAGACAACAGCTTTGGCTTGAGTTTTGGTGTAGAAATATTACATGGAAAAATAATATTAAGTAAAATAAATGGTTTGAGGAGACTGTGAGTGTATGCACGTGTTCACATGTGTGTGTGTGTGTGTTCACGTGTGTGTGCATGAGAAGACAAGAGGACAACTTCTATTGTCATTCCTCAGGCTCCATCTACATTGCTTAAAAAAAAAAAAAGAATTTACTTAACCTGTATGAGTGCTTTGCCTGCACGTATGTCTGTGTACCTCATGCATGCTTGGTGCCCATAGAGGGCAAAAGAGGTTGTCAGAACCCCTAAAACTGGAGTTATGGATGTTTGTGAGCTGCTGTGTAGATCCCAGGAATCAAACCTGGGTCCTCTGGAAGAACGGAGCCACCTCCCCAGTCCCTATCTCGCTTTATGAGAAAGGGTTTTTCACTGTCTGGAGCTTGCTAAGTAGACTAGGCTGGCCAGTCAGTGAGGCCCAGGGATTCCAGACTCCCCAGCCGCTGGATTACAAACACATGTCATCATGCCCAGCTTCGCCGCCCCCCAACATACACACAGGGGATTGAACTCAGATCCTCAGGCTCCCAAGGCAAGCACTTTTCCCAACTGAGCTGTCCTCCCAGCCGTGTGTGTGTGTGTGTGTGTGTGTGTGTGTGTGTGTGTGTGTGTGTTCCAAACTAAGGAGGATTGGTTCCAACCGTCCTTCCTCTTTATAAACCCAGGAGTGTTCAGGTCTCTTCTATAAAATAGTGGGGTATTTATATAGCACCCAGGCACATCCCCCATACAATCTAACCCTTCTGTAGAGGGTCTGCAGTGTTTAGTATGGGTCAAGTGCTCTGTAAATACCTGTCGTACTGTATTGTTTAGATAATCATGATTTAAAAGAAAAAAAAAACCTGTACAAGTTTAGTACAGACAAGAGTTTTTCCAAATATTTCCAACCTGGTTGACTCTGTGGATGCTGAGCTCCGGCATGCAATGCGCCGGCTGCACCAGCAGAGCCCGATCGGGTCATTTTGATCCTCATCCCAGAACTTAGATTTATACCACAATTCGGAAGTATGATCTACCCGAACCACTGTGGGCAATTGCCCTGTCTTCTAGACTGCCTTGCCCTTCTGCGTTTATAGTATGAACGAGGCAGATAGGCACGTATTCCCCCAGCTGCCGGAGTCCCGTGCCTCGATGGTTCCTTTGTGTGTTTAGGCTTTATCGTGGATGTTGTCATCGTTGTCGTTTATACAGATTACTGAAACAGCTTCCACCCTGGGCCCCCTGCACAGTGAAGCCACCCTCTCCCAGTTGGTGCTCCATGAGGGAGCATGAAAGCCCCAGGCTGCCCCTGAGTATCATGGATGCATCAGACTGGAAAACAACTGGCTCCCAAGCTCCAAGACAGAAGGGGTGCCGGCCCCTCCGTGTGTATGTTCTGTGCAAACAAGATGAATTTGACTTCTAACAAACCACACAACCAATCAACGTGTCTCAGCAACATTAAATCTTCCCTATCTCCAGATGAGGTATGGATTGGCCACAGGTTTTTATCATATGCGGATGATTCCTGAGGGCGGGAGGGGGGATGTGAGCAGCAGCCAGTGTCAGGGATGCCCTGGCAGAGACACACTGGGCAGAGAGTTTAAAGACAGGTTGGCAGGAGTTCGGAGGAGTCCTGAGCCTCTCCCATCCTTGGTATTTCTGGGTTAATGTATTGAGATGCTGCATAAAAATTTACTATTTACAATACAGACTCTATTGCCTTAAGACAATAAGTGAATTATTGAGTCCAAGGGGATGGGATGATGGCTATTTTTTCTAACTTCAGGCTTCTGAGGTTCTGTCTGTTAAATGTGGGGGAGTCCCAAGCACTCGTGCCCAGCGCAGGCATCATCCTCACGTGTACCCCAGCATCTAAGCACCAATGGTTTCTGCACAAACGGCCCTGCGCCTCCTATTGGAAACGTTCCTGCTTGTCTCCTTTGTCTTGGGCGGGACTGGAGGACTCACTGACCTTTTCTTCCTTGTCGCTGGGAGAAAACGGTGATGACATCTCTTTGGCCGGATGAAACTGATGGAAGATTTATGGAGCAGCTGAGAACTGTCAGAGCCGGGCCCGGCAGATTCCCTAAGACAAGGACCATGGCCTTTTCATCGGGGAGCCCGTTGCTTTCTGGAATCGCCTAACACAAGAGAATCCTATCTACCCAGCCATCAGTGAGGTTATCCCAGGACCCCACAGCTGCTGCCACCCAATCTGAAGGCCCCTGCTTCTGCTCTTGAGGGAATCGCATGTGACCACACAGGAGCCCTAGCTGTCACCCACCCTCACCCCCCTGGCCCCAGTCTGGCACCCAGAGCCCTCCAGGAGTGGGAAACTTCATCCTCTACCTCCTCAGTCACAGGGATTTCAGAAATTAGTCACAGGAAGGGGGGAGGCCGAGAATGGAGGCTTCCTAGAGGAACCTGTAACAGGATCTGTGGTCTTTCACCGTAGGTCACAGCAGCTCAGACTGTCCCTGAATAGCAGCGAGTGGTCAAGGATGAAGTCAGCCTCTCTAGCCTCTGCCAGCAGCAGAGGGTGCACACAATGGGTGGACCTGAAGCCCAGAGCCCAGCATGTGCTTGACGTGTCTTTCAGCCCTCACTTCATGAATGCACGCTGAGACACTCCATGGCTCTGCTGCATCTCAGTCTGCACAGGACACTCCCAGTTGTCCCAGAATTGTCACTGGCAGCCTGCCTTTCTGTCACAAATATCTCATGAGGACAGTAAATGACAGTCATTCTAAAGGGCTGGAAATGTTGCTGGATGGTAGAGGTAGAAGGCCCTAGGTTCAATCCCTTATACAGCTACATACATACATACATACATACATACATACATACATGGGGCTGGAGAGGTGGCTCATGAGTTAAGAGTGCATACTACTCTCGCAGAGGACACCAGTTCCCAGCACCCAAGTTGGGTGGCTCACAACTACCTATAATGACAGTGCTAGGAGACCTGATGCCACCTTCTGGCCTCCACAGGTACCTGCACATACAAAGTTTACATGCACGCACACACACAAATATGCACACACACACATAAACTACAAAGTAAATATTTAAAAATAAAGCTGGGAGGGCGCTGGAGAGATGGCTCAGTGGTTAAGAGCACTGACTGCTCTTCCAGAGGTCCTGAGTTCAATTCCTGGCAACCACATGGTGACTCACAACCATCTGTAATGAGATCTGGTGCCCCCTTCTGGTCTGTAGGCATACATGCAGACAGAGCACTGTATACACAATAAATAAATAAATCTTTAAAAAATAAAAAAATAAAGCTGGGTGGTGGAGGCATACACCTTTAATCCCAGCATTCAAAAGGCAGAGGTAATTGGATCTCTGTGAGTTGGAGGCCAGCCTGGTCTACAAAGCGAGTTCCAGGACAGCTAAGGCTAGACAAAGAAACACCCTGTCTCAAAAATAATAATAATTAGTAATTATAAAAACCTAATCTTTTCAGAAAGAATCTGAGATTCCAGCAGCCAGTAGGCCAGGGATCTGTTTTAAGCCAAAGAATGATGGTGCCCAGTAGACTACAATAGAAACAAGTCAAATATCCACCAGCAGAAAGTAGTTAAATAAGCTATGGCTTATGGATATGGAATATTATGCATCCATTATAAAAAAAAAAGGGGGGGACTGGAGAGATGGCTCAGTGGTTAAGAGCACTGGCTGTTTTTTCCAGAGGACCTGGGTTCAATTCCCAGCACCCACATAGCAGCTCACAACCATCTGTAACTCCAGTTCCAGGAGATTAGAGGCCCTCTTCTGGCCTCAGTGGGCACCAGGTAGACATGCAGGCAAAACACTCAGACACTCAAAATAACCATTAGAAAACAGACCTTTGACGACCTCTAGAAGTGTAAAGACTCTCCTGCCTGGGATGCTGTGGCATTGTTTGTGGCAAGCATCAAAGAGGAGCTAGTGTCCAGTCTGTTTGGGGTTAGCCCATCAGAAAAGGTGACAAAATTACACGTCAGCGACTGGACTCACGTGGTGACAGGTGGGAGCATGCCTGTGGACACAGAATGTCGGTGTCTTAAGCTTTGCCGTGATTTTAGACAAAATCTTTTGAAAAGAAATGTTTTCGCATTCACATTTTTGCAACAGAAAACTTATTTAATGTTACATGAGGTAGCTAAAACATTATGGACATCGAGTGAGGGTTACTCCGTGGTAGAACTTGTATTCAGTATGTGTGGAGTGCAAGGTTCGGTCACCGCCCACCCGGACCTAGCTCCAGAAATGAAATATTATGCAAGTCAATACAGAAAAAGTACTAGTGGGCTCTTCCACCTTCCTTTTTCTTCACACTGAACCCTCAGATTTTACCCAGCCCTGCAGGTTTACAGTCGCCTTGTTACTGGACTGTGTAAAAGGGGAGAGCAGGAGCAGGGAATGGGGAGTTCTCAGAGCTTGGCATGTTTACAATAAGAATATAGGGGCTGGAGAGAAGGCTCAGCACTTAAGAGCACTGGCTGCTCTTCTAGAGGACCTGGGTTCAATTCCTAGCACCCACATGACTGCTCACAACTGCCTGCAATTCCAGTTCTAGAGGATCCTATACCCTCACACACACATACATCCAGACAAGACATCAATGCATATAAAATAAATAAATAGTTTTAAAAAGAATATATTCGTAGTTGGGCATAATGGTGCATGCCATTAATGAGGATAGAGGCAGGTGAATCTCTATGAGTGAATTTGAGAGCAGCCTGGTCTACTTAGTGAGTTCTAGGCCAGTGAGGTCTATATAGTGAAAGAGAGAGAAAGAGAAAGAGAGTATAGGGGAAAAGTGAATATATTCATGACTTGTATAACTTTAAAATAATAGAAATCTCACCTGGGAAGTAGTGGTGCACTTCTTTAATCCCAGCAGAGACAAATGGACCAGCCTGGTCTACAGATCAAGTGTCAGGACAGCCTGGGCTACACAGAGAAACCTTGTCTGGAAAAAAGAAAAAAGAAATGAAGGAAGGAAGGAAGGAAGGGAAAGAGAAAGAGAGAGGGAGAGGGAGAGAGAGAGAGAGAGAGAGAGAGAGAGAGAGAGAGAGAGAAAGAGAGAGAGAGAGAGAATAATATAAATCTTAAATGTCCAAAGCTAAGAAGCATGAATATGAGTTAAGAAACTAAGTCTTTGGGGCTGGAGAGATGGCTGAGCGGTTAAGAGCACTGGCTATTCTTCTAAAGCAACCCAGGTTCAATCCCAAGTACCCACATAGCAGCTCACAACTGTCTGTAACTCCAGTTCCAGGGGTTCTGACACCCTCACACAGACATACATGTTGGCAAAGCACCAATGCACTTAAAAATAAATCTTGGGGGAAAAAAGAAATAATTTTTTTTAAAAAATAAAAAAGTCTGTTATTCTCTTCACCCAGAGTTCTCGCTTTTTATTTCATTTTATTCATATATGTGTCTGTGTATTTTCACGCACATGTGTGTATGTCTATATGTGTGTGTGTGTGTGTGTGTGTGTGTGTGTGTGTGTGTGTGTAGGCCGGATGACTACCTCTCTTGTCCTTAGGAATGCTGTCACCTCTACTGAGAGAGCATTTCTCCTTGGCCTGGAGACCATCAATTCGGCTAGGCTGGCTATCCAAGCAGTACCAGGGCTCCTCCTGTTTAGACCTTCCCTGCTCTGCCCACCACAGCCAGACATTTTTATGTGGGTTCTGATACAAGGTCCTCTTGCCTGCCCAGCAAGCATCCTACCAACTGAGTCATCCCTCCAAACCCCAAGCATTTACTTTTGTCTTGGGTTGATTTTGTTTGCAGGCACTAAGGACTGAGTGCCCAGTCCTGACGCTACCAGTCCCTAGACAGCAGAGGATACTGCAAGCTTCTGGAGGGCAGCCTGGCTTGCCTTCCTAGAAACATGAGGGTCTAGATGGCTCTGGGAGGAATTGCAGGAAAACAGAAGACAAGTGCACCCATATACACAGGCTGCAGCTTTATCCCAGTCTGGTACCGGGAAGATTTTATAAACCGCAGGTTCTTGCACCTCACTTACTTTCTGGAAGGAGACTGAGAATCTGCAGTGACCCGGAATTCTGGGTAGTTCGTAAACACAACTGGAATGCAAAAGGCCATGGTTTTGTTTCAGCACTGAGGACTGGAGTCAGATTCCCTGCTCAGTCCTGTTGGAACTAAAGAAGATTTGAAATCCAAACTCCCCAAAGCCCCTTTGTCACCTAGAAGACAGCAGCATCCTCTCCTCTCAGGTGAAAACTTACAGAGGGTTGGGAGTGACACTCTCTAATACAGGGCAGAGACGCTATGCTATGCCTAAACTAACTATGCTTCAACAGCCCTCTGCTGAGATCTTGGTCACTCCATCCCCAAGGTCAGCGCCTCCTTAGGCCTCAGCCAATTTTAGGCCCCTGATCAGAGAAAGCCCAGGTTGGTGGAGCAAGTCCCCGCTGACCTCTACTTCCAGCGTTTCAGAGCTGAGTCTCCTTCCTGTCAAGTGAGATCTGTTTGGTCTTGCTCAGTCTTTTTCTTTCTTCTTTTTAAATAAGCCAAGGGTGCAATTTGCAGTTTAAGGAGTAGCTAGGCTGGGTGCCCTGCGGCTCAGTGGCAGAGCACTCTCCTAGCCAAAGCACAGCAAGACCTCCATCCCCAGCTCCAAGAAAGGAAACAAGACAGTCTCTTCACAGGCTGGTGGGTTGTCAGCAGCAAAAGGCTTTTGCTTGTGTGTGTGTGTGTATTTCATATGCTCTGATCCCTTTGACATTCTAGGAGGATTGAAAGAGAGAGTTAAAAGGAAACATTCATTATCACCCTAACCTGTGAGGCCATCCAGGGCATTGCGGGTAATTTTCCCAGCCATTGACAAGGGCCATTCATATTTTTCTCACTTTCAGTAGTATTAATTGACAAATCATAGTCACATATATGTATAGGGTACAACGGTACCGTGAGATGCTCTGATATGTGTGTACATCAAGGAACGGTTAGATTAATTAACAAACACTGGTGCCTAACTCTGATCTCTTATATTGGGACATTTGAGATTGACTCTTATTCTGAAAAATTTAATACATCACTCCTTAATTACAACATATTTGAGCTGTGTAAAAACATTATGCATTACCATATAATCCATAATCCATTCGGGATTATGCAGAGATCTCCAAATGCATCCTTTCCTTCTTCCTTCCAAACACAACCAGGCCCGACCCAGGCACACCCGGCTCTCCGTCTGAAACTGGAGGTTAGAGAAACAGTTGGCTGAGTTTAGCGGAGAGACGTGGGCGGAGGTACACAGAGCTCGTGGGCAGGTTCCCCCTCCGCTCCTCCGGGCTCTTCAGTTCCCTGTGGATCTGAAGTGCCCCTCAAGAATGGCTGGCGGCTAGCTTCCACAGCCCGTCAGCAGGAGACCAAGGTTTCTTCAAGAGCGAACTTCCGCTAAGAATTCCTTCACAGACACCCACTTGTCAGTCTAGGTGGGGGCGGAGGGGAAGGTTTCAGGCAGCGTTTGGAAACTTCCTTCACCCGGGGCTGCGGGAGGAGTTCGACTCCCTAGAAGTTCCCTTTCCTGTCGTCCCCCCCCCCCTCTTCCCTAGTCTCCACTCTCTCTTCTCGATCAACTTTCTCTCTCCCTTTCTATTCTTCCATTTCACCATCTCCTTTTCTCCCTCCCTCCCTGGCTCCCCATCTCCCCGGGTGCTCTGGGATCAGCAACCCTCAGCGGGGTCTGAGCATCTGCACCCTAGGGCGGCCCTTAAGAGAAGGCCCCGCGGCCTGGGAGTCTGTGACCCTTTAACGATCTGTCCAGGTTGTGGAAAATCTGCTGGTGCCGCAGAGGAAAATCTGCTGGTGCTGAGGGAAGGTGGCTGGCACTCACCAGGGAATCAGGAGGAGATGCTATGAGGACCCAGACCGGGAATGCTGAAGCAGAAAAAGCAAGAGGCAGCTCAGTCGCTAGAATACTGCCAAGTTACATCTTCCTCTTATGCAGTCCGAGCCCTGGGTACAATAGCACAGTCTCCCTTGTCTCTTCTCTGAGGCCCTAGGAAAGACAGGAGCAGTGTAGGAAGATGCACGGATGGAAGCCTAAATCAGAAACACACACACACACACTTTCACAGCCTGGCTATCCAAGAGACTGGGGCTGGGGGAAAGGGGATTGGGGCCCAAGCTGGTTCAGGCCCCAGGGTTCCCTTGCTGTGTGACCTGCAGGAACAGGCCCTGCTGTTGAGTCTGTTGAGCTCCTGGCGTCAGTCAGCAGCATTTCCTGAGTCCCGGAAACATACCCAGAACTGTGTCAACTGAGCAGAGGTATCCACCCTCTGATGCCAAGGACTCAGCTGTGTTGTCGAGACAAAATGGCTGGCTCCTGATCCCTCATCTGCTCCTCTGGCTCTATTCAGCCCAAAGCCCTCACAGACCCTCACAGGCACCACTCCGGAATTCTAAAGAAGAGTGTGGGGAGATGGCTCAGTGGTTTAGAGCACCTACATCCAAGCAGCCCACAACCACCTGTAACTCCAGCTGCAGGGAATCCAACACCCTCTTCTGTGTGCTCCTGTGCCCCCTACACGCATGTGCACACATAATTCAAAATGAAATTAATCATAAAAATGAAAGATCGGCACAAAGGTGCAAAGGGGCCTCTGACGACTTTCCTGTGGTGCCCTGCTGTTTGGAGCTCTGGAGAAGGGAAAGAGAAGCACACACTGAGGTCAAATGAAGACAAATGTCCAAGTAGCAAGACAGATCACCTGGGGTCTGCTATCCTGCAGCGAGCCTCCGTGCTTTTCTCACCGTCACTGGCGAGAATACACAGGGACAACTCTGCTCCTGTGTTACTACTCCTTTGAGAAAGTGAGGCTATCGTCTCATTTTACAGATGAGAACATCAATGTTCGGGAAGAACAAGCAGCCATAGTCCCCGCAAATCATTTCTGCCTGTCATTTCCAGAGGTCTTTCCCTTGAATGTCTTCCGAGACCTCTTTCCTTCTTCAAGCCTGATTCCAGGAGCCTTCCTCTTTCTCTATTTGCTTTGCTTTCTGGAAATTGCTTCTACTGACACTCCTTCTTCTGTCTTCTAGGAGGTGAAGCCTAGGATAGAAATACCAAGATTAGGTTAGTCTCTAAGGACATCTATCATGAGCTCCTGGTGCTCAGAGCAAGTGAAGCAGCATGTGGCCTGTGGCCTGTGTCCCCACTGGCTACAGACGGGAACACAGGTGCTGGGCAGGGAGCAAACAACTGTGCTGGGATAGAGCACTGAGTCCCAGTAGGTCCCACTGAGTTCCAGTGGGTGGTTATGCATAGCAGTAGAGACTACAGAAGGCTGGAAGAATGGTACTCCAGGAAATAGGTATGTTGAACTTGAAGTAAGCAATTGACAAGCTAAATATGGAAGCATTGCATAATATATGCACCAATTATAATTACTGTATCAGATAAAAAATTAAATGAGCAATTTTAAGAATTAACTAAGAACACACTAATGAGAATAAAAGACAAAAAGGTTAGACAGGCACTTTGACACAATAAATATATTTCCGTTCAGCTGTGTGGAAAACTGTTGAGAATCAACTCAAGCTGAGTTTGTGAATAGGCAATGCTACTCATGGATGTTTACACAATAGAAACTGTGCGTTTCTAGAAAGGCAGGTGCCAGAGTCCTCAGAAAAAGTACCACTATTTTGTGATAGTCAAAACACGGGAAATTTGACATACAAGAGAACTTGGCAGAACAAGAATGGGCGCAGCGCATGAAGCATCCCTCATCTGAACCGCTTCCCACCAGAATGACACAGGTTCAGTTGCTTCAGATTTCAGATTCTTACCTAAGTATGTGTTAATAGACACCTCAGGGACAGAACTCCAGCGTCAATACAGAATCCATTCGCATCACATATGCACAGTCTGAAAGTCATTTTTTGCTGTATGTTATTCTCCTTTCAGTGTGACCAGCTCACGTGAGTTCAGGTGTGCGGGTGCAGGGGTGTCAGACATCTGGCAGTTGTGGTTTTAGGCAGGGATGCTCAGCCTGGAATATACCGAATATATTAATACAATGAGAGCAAACAGGACTTTGCTATCAGGTGGATATCTATGAGTTCAAGACCAGCCTGGTCTACAAAGCAAGTTCCAGAACAGTTAGGGCTACACAGAGAAACCCTGTGTCAAAAAAAACAAACAAACAAATCACTCGTTCACCACCTGTGCTCAGAGTGGAAATATTCACAAGTCAGTTCATTTTTTTATTTTAGGCACTTCCATGTCGGAATCAAAAAGTGTTCCTCAGTACTGGGAGGGTGCAGAGCCACCGGTTTGCCTTCAGGGAGCAGAGCGACAGAGCTGCGCAGCCAGCGTGGATGCCCTTCCAGCAAGTGTTTCTTCAAACCCAGCCTTACCTAACTGAGCACTCGGCCTGACTAAACTGGGAAATGGCCATCTGCAGGTCTGTCCAGAAGGGAAGGACCAGTTTGTCAGAATAACCCTAGAGGTCAGAGATGAAAGCCATGTGTCCCAAACCAACTTGAGATGCTCAAGTCAAGTCACAGTCTGGGGGCAGGGGTATCAATCTAGCACAGAAGAGAAGGTTCAGGGCCCATCCTATGAAAACATGCCCCCCAGGCTCCTTCACGGATCTTTTTGCTATTGCTAAGAATCCAGTTCAGCTAGGGCTGGGCTAATAGGGGCTGACATAAATAAGAAGACTCATAAATGGCTCTGCCTTAGCAGGAGAAGGGTTGTGTTTGCCCCTACTTTGTTTCCTTACAGAAACTGCTATCTTAGGCAAATAAACCCTGATAAATGACAAGCCCAATTTTCCCAAGGCCTAGATTATCCTCAGGCTGTGTTTTAGTGGGTGGTCCTCTCTCAGCAGTTGGAGTAATCCAGAATGATCCTGGGCGACTGGAAGGGAGCAAGCCTGTATTGAAGCCAGGAAATGATTTCCCTGTCAGTAGCTCCCTAGCCCTGTGTGTGACTATGAAATAAAGAGGTCGGATATATACCTGAAATGGATAGGACTGGGGATACCAGAACTGAAGGGGTTAGACGGCTGCTGAGAGATTTTATTTTTCTAATTTTATTTTTCTTTATTTAAAAAAGGAGATACAGCTGGCTGAATATAGAAATTTAAAAAAAAAAAAGGATGGAAGGGCATATAACCCAAGGAAGATTTGGGCCTACCATCTGATCAGGATGCCTAGAACTCTAGGGCACAGGACAAAGACTTTAGAGGCCTGGGCTGAAGATTTCACTAGAACTCACTACCTTATGAAAAAACTGGCCAAGCGGTGGTCACTGGTCAAGGTGGTCACTTATCACTACGGCTGGCCTTTCTAAATCAAAAAGCAGCCCCACTCCGGTTCTTTGCAGGTTGGAAGTGAGCAGTGGGAGCAAAGGAGAATGGCGGGATTCTGAGGTTCCCCTGAGCCCCCCCCCCAACCGTCCTTTCGTCAACCAAAGTTACTTGGAGTTAGAGAAAACTCGGGCCAGACTGGCGCTCTCTGAAGTCAGAGGCCCCTTCGAAGGATAAGCCTGATTTTCCTTCACCTCGGCCAAGCAGCCAAAGCGCAGTTCCGCCGGTTTTGTGACTAGCTCTTAGTCCAGATTCCCCGAGTTCATGGTTAGCAAACGGACCAGATGCCCCCTTCTGAGTGACAGTGCGCCACAGTATCCCCCATCCACGTCCCAGAACTTCTCCTGGACCGCAGTATCTCCTCCCCACCCTCTAGGACCTGGAAGGACAACAGAGCCAAGGGGGCAACGCGTGACCCCGAGCGGAAGGGCCCCAGTCTGGGTCCTAATGCGGGTGGCGTCTCTCTTGACAGGCAGCGTTTGGGGACAACAGCGGGGAAGAGAGATAAGATGACATACCAGAGCAGATTTGGTGTGCGCGCTGATACTCCTGGCCCGACAGGAAACTCGGAGCTATTTAAAAGACCCTATCGATTACTTTATCTTCCCTGGAGGAAAGCTTCTTGCCGAGAGACAAAAGATGTCCCCCCTACCTAAAGATACAAGGCCACACCGCAGAGAGTTTGCGCAGGCGACGCGCAAGTAGGGACTCTGGGAGCGCCAAGATGCGTTTACATCCGTCGGAAAAATGACTCTGGGTGCCCGGCATAGCCAGTCTGGAGATGTCAGGAGCGATGGGCGTCGGGCCACCTCACAGTTCCTGTGAGCTCTGCCCGCAAAGTTCCCGCGCACGTTGTGCACACTAACTGGTGTGCCTCTGAGTTCCATCCGTACTCCTCCCAAGTTTAAATGCTCCTTTTAAGGGCTTGAATGTCTGCAGCCGTCAACTGCACCCTGAAAGCGTGGCGTGTGACATGGCATTCGTTTAGCGTCTCCATCCCGCTTTTCTCCAATCCGCGTGCAGGCAGATTGCTGCGGCGCGCTCTCTGCCGGAGCCCAGCAGCTGCTGAAGCCCGGAGTTCCACGGTCCGGAAGTCCTCGGTCCCCCGGGGAGGCTCTGGGTAGACACTGATTGAACCCAACCGACCACTGTCAGGGCTTTCCCCGTGCGACACTTTGCCACCTACCCATTCACAATCCGTTCGGCCTGCGTGGCAGAAAGCGGCGTTTCCTGCGGGACACCAGCATATTTTAAGCACTTTAAGGGTCGTAAGACACGATCTGAAAGGAAAGGACGGTGCAGAAGAGAAAGGGCGGCGATCCTAGGACGCATCGAACTGCGGTGACCGGCCACTTACAGTCTGATTCACGCCCACCAGAGACCCCAGCAGTCCCCGAAGGAGGCGGCGACTTCGGGGTTGTTGTCTGAATTTCAACTGCAGCAATCAGGCGCTAACTGTACGGCTCCGACCCCAGCCGGCGGCGACCCTCTAGAAGCCCGGCTTGCTCCCGGTGCTGGAAGTGAAAACCCACGCCTTTCCTGCAGCTACGCTCCCTCGATCTGAGCGCTCAAGTCCAAGGCGGCTGCAGAGACGCCTCCTGGAGCTCCACGCCGCCGCACTAGCGTGGGATGGCTCTAAAACGCACCGTTTTCTCCTCGCCGCATCTTAAATCATTGTCCCACTCCAATGTCACCGGATTTTTTTCAAATTATCATCTCCTGAGACCGGATTCTGAGAGACCACCAGAACCTTCACCTCTGCCCGGTGTTTATGCTGTAACAGTTTGCAACCGACAGGGCAGGTGGAAAACAATGTTACAGGCACTCTCCGAGCTCGGAGCAGAGGAGAAAGAGAACCGAGATAAGGAAAACCCCTGCGTCGGGAAGCGGCTCCCATCGATCCATCAAGTCTATCACATCAAGTGAGTGACCAAAGAGAAATTTCGCTTTGGAAATCCCCGCCAAAAGCACGTGGAAAAGTGCGCCGGCAAAAATATAAAGGACTCCGTAGAATTTCGAAACAGCACGCACACCCTACAATTTGACACATTTTCCATAAGCACACAAATAAATGAAATCTGCAGAGAATGTACTGCTTCAAGTCTGTGACTGACCTTGGACCGACTAACCGGAAAGGGTTCATTAAAATTGTCAACGTTTTCTCTATTACTCGGGACTTTTTCAACGTGCTCAGACTCACGGGACAGTATACTTACTAGCTTGTTGGTTGCATTCCAAACTTGCTATGTCTTATTTAAATAGATCGTGGTCAACTCTTGGACGGCATACGGGGCTCCTGAGGCCAGTCCCCAACACTGAACGGAAACAAGTCGACTTTAAAAAAATATAAAAGCCTTGAGTAAGAAGGCTGGGAGCTGAGAGGCTTGTCATACTAGCTCCCCCTCCCCACAGTTGTTTGTTTTTTACAACAAGGTACCTATTTAAAAATAAAGGTAGTCACTGGCCCAACTGTTTTATCCATTGCTAAGGAAACCAACCCAGCAGGACAGGGTACAGGCTTCCTCTGCAGGTATAGGAAGCAACCCAGATCGCTCATGTTCACAAAATTTTTTGGAAAGAGATACTGTTGGTTTCGACTTTGTTTTCTTGTTCTCTCTCTCTCTCTCTCTCTTGCTCTCTCTCTCTCTCTTGCGCTCTCTCTCTCTTGCGCGCTCTCTCTCTCTCTCTCTCTCTCTCTCTCTCTCTCTCTCTCTCTCTCAGAAGACCCCAGGATTTTTCTGGTGGTTCTGTATGGTGATCCTATCTCTTCTAGGAACCTAGGGCAGTGAGGCTGAGCAGTAAAAGGCTGGCGAGAGCTGTGTCCCCGCTACTGCAAGCGGCAGCTCGATCCCGCTCTAAGCGAAGGCAAAGAGGGAGCAAGTCATTCTGTGGAAGACTGGGGTGGCACCTCTCTATCTGAAATCCTCTCCAAGTGAGAAAGTGGAATCTGAAAGCAGTGTCCCTACGGGGTTGGGGTTCAAGAAGTCCAAAGTTGAGAGACCTCTGAAGAACCATGACAGGTAGAAGAGTCTAAGACCAGGGGCCACAAAAGTTCCCACTGTAAACAAGGAGAGCGTGTGTGATACATTTCTACTTACTGCTTCCTGTACTCCAAGATAGGGAAGAATCAGATCAATCTTGTTAGGAAGTCTCTAGCACTAGCTGTGGTTCAACAGGAGCTTCCCACTCACCCACTCACTCAGGGAAGGATGGACCAATAGGCCTAAGCAAGAGGCTTCCAAGGCCTCTTCCAGCTGGGGCAGTACCTGGGTGTGGGGGAGGGGCAGGTGACCACACCTTTTTGACCAGCCTCCTTTTCGCTCTGTGGAATCTCGCCACCATACCCTCAGGTGCACTGACAGATGTGTGGTCAGCCGGTATGCCTTCAGGTGGGCTCTTGGGACGCGGAAATCCACTTCAGGAAAAAGCTAGAAGGCAGCTTTGCTAGAGGGTGACCGGGATCAGATTCTGCTGGACAAAGACCACACACACACACACACACACACACACACACACCTTTGGAGACCTTCCTGATCCACCACGAAGAGTTCACTGGACAGCCACTTGGGCCCTCTGCACAAACTGCACTCACCTTTGATCTTAAAAATTCCAGGAGAAGAAAAGCGCATAAATTTACATTTTTAACAGGTGCTTCCTAGGATTCTGGTCCAGATATTTCCACAGCTCTAAAAGTATCAACAAAACCCTGCTCTCCTGGAGTTACTATAGGACAGTCAGTGTGACGTTTACTTCTAGATCCTTCCCCCAGTTTTCTTCCTTCGAAGCTTCCTTTAATATTTTGCTAATCATTAATTTTTTAAAATCTATAAAGTACAGCACAGGTGTAGTGGTTCACACCTGTTATCCCGGTGTTTAGGAGGCTGAGGCTGGAGGATTGCTGTGAGTTCGAAGCCAGGCTTGGCTACAGAACACCAACCAGCAACAAAAATGGATAGTAATAGTGGAGGACACATGTAATCTCAGGACTTGGCAGACAGGAGATTCGGAGCTCAAGGCCAGCCTCGTAAAACCCTGCCTCAGACCTAATTGATTAATTAATTAATAAGTACTGGTGGCTGGTCTTGGTCAAAGGTGGTTGCTAACATGCCTGAAGATCTGAGTTCATGCAAGGAGAGAGAGAGAACTCCAGCAAGGTGTCTTCTGACACACCGCACACACATACATGTAAACGTGACACACCGCACACACATACATATAAACGTGACACACCGCACACACATACATGTAAACGTGCAATAAATAAATAAAATCCAAGTGTTGCTCAGTGGTAGAGGACTTACCTGCAACCATAGAGCACTGGAAAGAAAAGGGCTTGCCCATAGCTTGTTTGGATATATGAAGTATCATAAAATGTACTCATGCTGACAAATATTTTTCTTTCTCTCCTAGGTCTGCAGTTCTATAGGTATAATGGGACTTTTAACCAGTCCCCAAGATAAATAGACTGGGTTGTTTCTTAAATAAGTAAATAATGTGCAAAGAATTTTATTTGCATACACGTGTGTCTCTGCAAATAGAGACCGGAAGTGAAAATGTTCCCTCAAATGACTTGTTCATTTTACATGTTGACAGAACCAGACTGCTCCAGAGAGGGCTTTCAATTTACTGTTCCCCATGCAGAAAAGTCACTCAACAGAGACAACCAACCCTGAGCATCAAGCTCAGGCCTCAGGAACGCTGGGCAAGCCCCCATCCATTCGACTATGTCCACAGTATAATTCAGGATGCACAGTTTTTCTAATTTTGCTCAACTTTATCATTCGTTGGGAAGCCAGGGATACCAAATTTCTCACATTTGTCAGTCCAATATATAAAGTATTTATCCCTCTGATTTAGTTATCATTTCTTAACTTTTTTCTTTCTTATTTACTTCCTTCCCTTTTCTTCCAGCAAGATCCTTGGCCAATTTTCCAATTGCTCTGTTAAGTAATTTTCTTATTGACTCACCAGATCTCTTTCTGTGTATAATATTAAAATTCATAATTTTCTCATGTATTTCTAGCATTTTCTCTCTGGGTTATTTTTTTCCTTGGTTCTATTTATGATATTTTTGGCAATGGCTTTTAATGTACTCTTGTATGGCTTCTCAATGTTTCAACCTCCTTATTCACCCTCAGAAATTAGCAAACACTCCAAATTATTGTCCTTATCATGAATACCATGTAGAAATCATCATGTGTACATTGTGTGTGAGTTCAAATGTAGGTGTGCCATGGTGCAATTGTGGAGGTCAGATGACACCATGGTCTCTGAGAATTCCGGGCAGGGCAGGCTTGCTCAACCAGCACTTTTACCCACCTGGTCAGTGTGGGTGAAGGGGAAGAGAAAATCAGGCCAAATGCCCCAAAGGGAGTTGACTCCGGAGCCTTTGGAGGCAGGTGGGAGTCCTGACTTCTCTTAGACAGACCTGCAGTCCTTTACCAGGTAGACTGTGCCTCCCTTCTGTGGCTTTCAATTCTTCCTATTACTGGGATAACTTTGCACAGACTGGCCTAAAAACAGCATGCATAAGGCTGCTCTCGGTCTGGCTCAGCTGGCCTACAGCCTTGTACGTTGGGGCAGTGGAAGCCAAAAACCAGGCTAGCAATCGGGATCTCGACGATGTGGAGTTAGTAATCCCAAGGCCCTACCCGATGACCTAGAAAGCAAGACTGTTAGTAGACACTGTGAGTTCAGCACGAAATGAAAATCTGGTAACTTTTTTAAAAGCTAAGAATTGGGCTACAGCAAGAACAGGATATTGCTGGAAACTCAGTCCACACTGGAGGATTGAAATTAGAGAGAAAAGAGGAAGATTTTTCGCAGTCTGAGAAGGTAGGAGTGGGCTGGAGAATAGCAAAAGGCGAAAACACCCGAATGTCAACCAACTAAGGAACTAATAAACAAAAATGGGATATCTACGCAGCTGAATACTATTTAGCTGCTAAAAGGAACAAAGCGCTGGTAAACACCATAGCGCGAGAGAACCTGGGAAACGTGGCTTGCCAAATGAGATATACCAGACAGAAAAGGTCACATATTATATGATTTTGTTTGTATGAACCACTCAAGAGAGGCAAATCCATAGAGGGGGAAAGTAGATTAGCGGTAACTGGGGCTGAGAAGGGGAGAGGGGGAGGTTGATGACTGAAGGTTGGGGGAGTTCTTTAGAAGTGATGAAAAATCTCAAATCGACTGTCCGTGTATGGTGAATGAATTATATATAAATAAGCCCTTACCAAAAAGCAGGGGGGAGAAAAGGAAGTAGTTGCATCTCAAATTCATGCTCTCTCTCTCTCTCTCTCTCTCTCTCTCTCTCTCTCTCTCT